TGTGCACCTTATCCTTCGTTTTAGTAGAATTCGGCAGTGTTCGTACGTATAGCGCAGCGCGCGTGAGCGCTGCTATCGCGGGTCATCAGCGGTTCGATGACATGCGGAGACGCTCGTTTTGCGGCCCCTGCGGAGAGCTCGCTATAGTCTTGCGAGATACTTCGAGCTATCACGACATAGTCCCTCTATGTTGTGACAACCAGGAGGGGTTTACTACGGGCCCTGAAGTCTGCAAATAGGGTATCCTAAAAGTAAGTACACATTTTTTAATCGTCAATATCGCTCTTCCCAATAGGTCTATTTTTGCCAGTCAAGTACCATTCTGTAGAGGAGGCTTCAACTTAGATTTACAGTATCGATCAAATCAACGATCTCTCTTTATTACTGTAGGATTACGGTACGAACTTCCAGTTTGTGGAATCATGTGAAATAAGCCAACATGAAATAAGTCCGACAAAATTTTTTTCAAAAATCTGAAAAATTGTGTACTAGGGTTTTCTCGCATGCTGATTCCAGTACACAACTTTTTATGAGTGTTTTCAGCTTTTTTGATGGTGTAATCACATTTCTGACAAATTAATAATGGGAATTCGTTATTACGATTTAGTTGGGGTAACTTTAGAAGGAAGCATCAGAGTAAAGTGGAAATGGAAATTTTATATCCGAAATTAGCGGCTTCTATTACCATAGTACAAGGGTTTTTGGCTTGTTTGATTTTGTTCCGAGGCAGAGTATGGCTTCCGATGGCCTAAAATCCTTGTCGAAGTTCCTTCAGTAATGAAGAGCGATCGGTGATTCGCTCGATACAGCAAATCTAACGAGAGGATACTTAGCGAAAGCACCAATCCAGATAAGACATATATCATCTTAGAGCGCTTGAAACGCTGATTCCAAATCTGTAGATTTTAGCAGCGGAGTGGTTTTGTAGAGGAAGTTATGAGTGGTGTTTCCCTCTGAGGCTGAGGCGCCCTACAGCAGGTCTCCCCTTATCTATGAGCACTGTAGAGGAGTACCAACTGATGACAACGGCTAGTGGTAAGTAGTTTGAATGAAGATTACAATAAGATTTTAATACTCGTATTACTTTGGTTTTTTAAATACTTCTTCTTTGATCAGCATCAATATCACCAGAAATTTTAGGCTTTAGGGCTTGAAAGCCATTTAGATGCTCAATTTTGCAAAAATTGCGAAAAGCTTGCATGGGAAGGGAATTTAAACCTTGACACTCTCCTTGTCAAGCAAGTCATTTACCAGTAGGCAGTTGCCTAGTTGGTACTCCCCTACAGTGCTCATAGATAAGGGGAGACTTGCTGGAGGGCGCCTCAGCCCCAGAGGGAAACATCCCTCATAGCTTACTCTACAAAACAGCTCCGCTGCTAAAATCTACAGACTTGAAATCAGCGTTTCAAGCGCTCTAAGACGATTTATGTCTTATCTGTCTTATCTGGATTGGTGCATTCGACTAAGTATCCTCTCCTTGTAAGTTGAAATCTCCTCTCCAGAATGCCACTCAAATGGGGGAAAAAGACACAATGGAAAGAGAGATATTAACGACTGAAAAGTATGTACTTACTTTTGGGACACCCTGTACTATGCCATACCAGGTGCACCTGGTGAAATGGTCGTTTTCGAACACGTTTAACTTCGTCAGAAGAGAACTAGCTATCTCTTTTTGCATTCAGTAGAAGCGCTTCTTCTTCTTTGCCTACTCAGAAATCCCGCTTGAACGAATAGCCGAATTGTGGAATTAGAAACAACCAAAATGTTTGTTCCATTTTTCAATTCAAATATCTCAGTAGGAAAAACCAATCGAGATCAAATCACATCTGTGAAAATTACGGTCTAGACTACCTAATATATGTATTCTTGCAGCCTTCCTCGCGATTTACGTAGTAGAGCACAGTAATCATGTTACCGTAATCAATATTTTCGCAACATTTTCTATTTGCATAGGTAAGGAAAAACGATTCTACTTTTTCTAGAGCACACGATTTTGAATGGAATTGTTACATTGCAGAGAGGAAGGTTTAACAGTAGCAAAGACATAAAAATTTGAATATTATTATATATTTGAATTTATATATGATATATTCGGATATTTGGATGCTCTGAAGGTAAGTTAATGAGGTGTGACACAAATCCGGGAAAACTGTGGCTGCAATATTTTATAGGGATTGTGCCACGCCCCATTAACTTACCTTCAAAAACATTTTTTGCGAGTGTAGATGTTTCGCTAGCTTACACGGTAGATTTCTAAGAATAAATCGAGCCCAATTTGTCTTCTTTGCTCTGAGTAATAGTCGGTGAAAACACAGCCATTGAAGTCGACAAATAGGGCAAACAAGATTTGGGTTTGCTTCTAATTCCACAGTTTGGGGATTTTTGAAAGCGAGATTCCTGTGGTGTGCAAAAAAAGAATAGTGCTGAGTGCAAAAAGAGGCAGCTAGTTCCCTTACAAAATTAATTGTGTTCGAAAATGACCATTTCACTAGGTACAGTACACCTGGCATGGCATAGTATTTGCAAACTTCAGAATCACTCAAACTTAGTCCACAGCGATTTGACAAACCATATGCATATCACTCATTATGCTCGGTGGAGCCTTAGCTTATGCCCATCTTAAGTTTTCGGTAGTTCAGGGGGGTCTCACTGAAACAGCAATTAGGGAAGGGAGTCTTACTTAGCGACTGTGTGTCACACCTCTCGCTTGACTTTGATATGCTTGATGTTTGACAGTTCTTGTCTCGGCGTCTTACGCAACATTAAAACAGCTTCCATTAAATTGCATTCTCAGTAGATTACAAGATGATCTGAGAAACAAGCTTGAAAAGTGACATTTACGATTTCACGACTCACTAAATTCGTCTCGAAGGAAAAAGGAGTCGAAAAATTGTGCAAATTTTGCCGCTTTCGCATAAGACCAGAGTCAGGTGAGTGATGCCGTGTGACGCGCAACACACGGTTGTCGTATTCACGTGTTCGCAGAGAAGGGGAGAGTCGTAGTTGGGAGATGTTAACAATAATTATAGATATTATTAGGTTGAACCGAAAGTTCTGCTGCTTTAATTTTAAAAAATCCGTAACTGCTTCCTAGGTGGGCATATTTTTTAACAAAAATTATCATCTAAGAGGAAAACTCATCTAGTTTTTGATAACATCTTTGCGGCTCTTTGGCAGGTGACTTCAGAGATATTCAGAAAAGGAAAGCCTCAAAGCCATTCAAAGTTTCAATTCTCAAAAAAAAATCGTCAGAAATAAACGCTGCAGGAAAATCTAAGAGAATGTTTTCTAAAATTTTTGTGAGCTGCTCTTTTTATTGGTGCCAAGGTTGGGCAGATCGATCTTTTCTGCAAAAGCTCATGATTTTCGTGAAAATGCAGAAAAATGCAAAAAACGTCATTTTCGCCGTTTTTGCATTTTTCACGAAAATCACAAGCTTTCGTAGAAAAGCTTGAACAGCACAATTTGGCACCATTAGAAAGAACAGCTCATAAAACCTATAAAAACATGCTCTCAGAATGTTCTGCAACGTTTAAGGTTTTTGTCGATTTATCGTCGAAAATTGAGAGTTTGAGTGGTCCTCCTTTTCTAACTTTTATCTCTGGAGCCTCTTATTGTCAAGTTGCAGCGAGAAAGCTATTATAAACTACCTAGTTGAATTTTCCTTTCTAATGAGATTTTCTACAATCAGATGCGTTCGTATAGGGAGTTACGGAATTTTTTAAAAATTAAAGGTACAGAACTTCAGCGTAGTATTTATTTACAGCATGTCAGATGAACGCATTATACAGACTGTAGTCGAGTATTCGTGCTTAATATAGTGTTCCTGGAAACGCGACAACGCTTATGCGTCAACATTTTCCATTGCGAGTTTCCGAATAAATGTTTTCCATTTACTGTTTTCTTTGCTTATTCTTTCCTTTATTTTGTTTTTAATTGTTGCTGATAAAAGAGAAAAAGGCAAGTTGAAAAGTAGTTTCTGTTTTCTGAGTATTTACATCGCTCATCCTCAGGTATATACTGGAAAACACGTCGCTTAGTTTCGTGTGCTTCCCTTTTGTGAAGCATTTTTTGCTGGTAGTCTCTGCAGCATCTTCACCTTCCTCTTAAGAAGAGATAGCATTTGGTCGAGTAGTTCGTATGATCAAGACAGTAAGTCAAAATGAAAGTCTAGGGTTCAAAGAAATGCTTTACAAGAAGAAAGGAGCATGAGGTGACAAATATACATATGAGACGTAGCTTCCACGAAGATACTAAGAATAAGCGGTTATTTAACTCGAAAACAAAAACACCACCTAGCTTACCTTCCTCTCCTTTATCAGCAACGACTTACCCAAGTAGCAAAGAATAAGCAAGGAATACACCAGGAAACACTCGCTGAGACTCGCATTGGCAATTGTTAATGCACAAGCATTGTCGCGTGTGAGGGACACTACAGTAAGCAGGTGATCTATTCGACTGTACATACAAGCATGCTGAATAATGACAACGTATCGTACGCATAAAAAAGGTCCTGCATGATATGGCGAGCGTATTAGTAATCAGCATGTCATGTAACCCCTTACACAAAATTTGGGCGACTACCGATGTCTCGAGCATTGAGTTATCAACCGAAGGTTGTTTTTGAGCGTGGTTAACATTATTTGTCAACAAGTTTGCTAATTCTGCACTAACTGAAAACACTACGCCATTATGTAGGGTCCTCACTACATATAACATTGGAAAATCCAAATAAAACCAAACATTAAGATTACAAGCCTGTTAAGATCTTATAAATTGCATTCTTCGTTTTTACTCTTTCGCTTAAAGGCAGTGTGTCAGCAGATCCTTCGTTTTCGGGAGAACTATACATGAAGGTAGCAGACTGTCTAACTAAGTCAAGCCCCAATTTGCAGCCGAATCGGTTACCTCCCTGCTGAGAAAACCCCGCTTGATTCCGCTCGCGCGCCGCAGTCTCGCTCGCGGCGGACGAGTTGACCCCCCGCGTGTCGTGTGGCGCAATGTCTGGAGAAATCGTTAGCACTTTCGAATTTTTTTTGAGTCCTTGTTTTCCCTTTTCAGTTTTCTCTGCCTAGTCTTATGTTTTTGCTTTCTATGTGATCATTATCATCAAAAACATCTTGAATAATCGCTTTCAGTGCGCATAAAGCATGTTTCGTTGTCAATATAAGTGACAAAGATGTTTGTGCATCAACTATTCCAATAATTTCTACTTCTGAACTCACGTCAATCTTTCTTGACCGAGTCCCGGGAGGATTAGGAAGCATTTTATGCTTTGTGCTTTCGTACAATCTTTGCATTACAGATATCAAATGGCTTAATTGGAAGTGTTGAACTTGAACCATTGTCTGCAGCTGATTGTTTTTTGATCATACGCTGTAAACATTTCCAGGTGCCTATAGTTTACAATGGAATTGAGACAATTCATGTTTTTGCATGGTCTTTTTTTTCCAGGTAATCAATCTTTTTATATCCAGAGATGGAATTTGTCAAGATCTCTATGAAACGTTGCTTAGATGTTCGAAAACGGGTGAGAATCCTAATTATGGCTGTCTGGTTGACATTAATTGGTTCCGATTCAGTTAACGTCTGCGAATTGGTAGCGTTTGAAAACAGAGACGTAGCTGAAGATGCCCGAGGGCGGTCACGTCTTGACTGGGCTGTGGAGTTCACTCGACAGGGTGTAGATAGTGAATGGGGTGAAAACGATTTCAATAAAGTATATTGCGTGAGTATTTTTCAAATTTCTTCGCCCATTGTTTTGATGTTTACCATTTGTCTATTCTTTCTTTGACTTGTTTTTTACTGGAATTTTTGGTAAGAAATTTTATATGTTACTCAACGGCTTCATTGAGGATGGTCATTTTTTATTACTTTATTCATTTAAGCAAAGTCACCTTTGCTTCTACTTTTCATCACTACGAATGTCTCTTGAATAATGAGGTTACTCCATCACGGTGCAAATGGACACAAAGTGAGGTGTGAGGGTTACTCCTCACTTTTTGTGCACCATTTGCGCTCTGATTGTTGGACATGGTTCCGTTCTTTCATTCGTTAATTTTTTAGAGCTGTGACACGTGTCCAGAACGACTATGGTTGCCGGTGGCGGCGAGTACCACCACTCTAATGGGCTCATGTCGGTTCCCATCTCGAGGACGGTTACCGGTGTTAACTTATTTCTACACACCTAATGGTGCAGCTATTTGTAGGTGAGAGAATCTTATATATAAAACTGAATGTTTGTCTGTCTGTATGTCTGTCTGTGCGTATGTATGTTCCGAATATAAAATTCCATTTCTGAAATTATCCGTATCAAACTTGGCACACATACACTTCGGGGCCGGGGGGTGTCATAGGCTACTTTTCGTTATCGATCGATATCGATTTTATAGATTTTTTGCAAAATTTGAGCTAGGGGGCTGGGATTTGGCACAGGGGGAGGGGGTAAGAGGTAAATGAGCATGCCGATTACAAAATCACTGACAAGGCCGTGCAGAGCCGGGTTTGCCAGCTAGTTGAAAATAAAGGTATAATTATTTCGGTCTAGAGAGGTAAACAAGGATTTTTACAGACGTTCGGCTGTGCACTCACTTCTTCAGCTCGTCCATGTAACACCACAAGTACGCTGATCGAAGATTTCTGGTAATGCCGTAAAAAAGCAATGACGGGTTGCTTGCGGCTATTCTCATTTTTGGAAAGAAAAAGTGAGTATTATCATACCTTCATTTTATGCGCTCGGTTTCGATCTAAAGAAAGGCAGAACAGGGGGGCATTAACTTAAAATTTTAATATTTCTCTAGCTTGAAACGTGGCTCCAGGCATACTACACGCCATTTAACCTAGATTTGACTACAAATGCACAGCATTAACTTCCGAGTACTGGTAATATGCCCCATTTTTTGAGCAAATGTCGCGTTTCCAAATCGCGTTTCCACTGAAAACGCGAAGCTTGCCCGGGACCTATTTCACGTATTTTAATTTGGATCTTTAGAGTTTACAATGAGCAATCCACCAATGTCAACGGTTGGATTGCAAGTCGCACGGACGAGAAATTTGTGAAAGTGCTCCTAGACCAAATTATTTCACGATGAGAAGGCACAGTCAACAAGGAATGTTTTGGATGCGTACTTTGCTCACAACCCTTGTCAGAAATAGGGTTCTGTAGATCTTGTTGTCAGTGTTAATTGTGTCATTGTAGAATTATGTTGAACATACTGAGTTTGTGCCTACAGTGACCGCCAAAAAGTTGCGGACAAGCCTTCCTCCCAATTTCATCGCTCTATTTCAGAAGGAAAACAAGGATAAAAAATGTAGTAATTGCATGAGGTGATAGAGCTCTTCAAGATCTATAATTTACGCTTTGCTTTTTTCGAAAAACATGTATTCTAAGAATTTTAAAAAACTTTTTCTAAAAAAAATCCGAAAATGGCCGCGTCACAATGTCGCGGACAATAATTCTTCGAATGCAAAAATTTTCTTTTGCGTCCTATTCTGAAGTGGAAACACAAGTAATCCAAACGGATAAGCATACTACTATACAGAGCTCGTCAAGAACTACACACTGGTTATGGTTGCTTCCCAGAAAGCACAAGCTTGAATTTTATTTTGCTTCTTCTCAAAAAACAACTTCTAATTCCCTGCTTCAAGCCAAATTTCTTCACATGGAAAACCATGCAAAACATTCAAACAAGGCTATTCGGATAAAATGGATGCCCTTTGCCATCTTCCATGCATCGGACGTGTGCTGGTGAGTTTCTTTGCTGAAAATGGCTTCTGACAGTGCGTGTACATGACCCCACCTGCACCTCACCACTGAGTCGCACCGCTTTGCAGGCCTGTAGCTCGGCCGGCAGTCATTCTACGAGCCTGCAAGTAGGCTCATTCGAAAGAGCGTGAGCTCCTCGACACGATGGTATGCAAAAGAGATGGGTATAAGAAACAGCGGAGATTTGGCGGATGGGGTGGAAAAACGCGGCCTCAGTGGTGGTTGGGGTGAAGGCTCTTATCAACACCAAAACAGTTCTAGAGCTTCAAAATGGATCTGTTACAAGAACATTGACAGTCTTAAGCTTCCAGGATTAAACTGGTAGCGAAAGAAGCTCTATTCAACTTTAGCTGGGTATCCTCACCCTACCACTGAGGCCGCGTTTTTCCACCCCATCCGCCAAATCTCCGCTGTTTCTTATACCCATCTCTTTTGCATACCATCGTGTAGAGGAAGTCTCGTTCTTTCGAATGAGCCTAATTGCAGGCTCACACATTGACTACAAGCCGAGTTACAAGCCTGCAAAACGGTACAAGTCAGTGGTGAGGTGCAGGTGGGGTCATGTACACGCACTGTTAGAAGCCATTTTCAGCAAAGAAACTCACCAGCACACGTCCGATGCATAGAAGATGGCAAAGGGCATCCATTTTATCCGAATAGCCTTGTTTGAATGTTTTGCATGGTTTTTCCATGTGAAGAAATTCGGCTTGAAGCAGGGAATTAGAAGTTGTTTTTTGAAAAGAAGCAAAATAAAATTCAAGCTTGTGTTTTCTGGGAAGCAACCATAACCAGTGTGTAGTTCTTGACGAGCTCTGTATAGTAGTATGCTTATCCGTTTGGATTACTTGTGTTTCCACTTCAGAATAGGACGCAAAAGAAAATTTTTGCATTCGAAGAATTATTGTCCGCGACATTGTGACGCGGCCATTTTCGGATTTTTTTTAGAAAAAGTTTTTTAAAATTCTTAGAATACATGTTTTTCGAAAAAAGCAAAGCGTAAATTATAGATCTTGAAGAGCTCTATCACCTCATGCAATTACTACATTTTTTATCCTTGTTTTCCTTCTGAAATAGAGCGATGAAATTGGGAGGAAGGCTTGTCCGCAACTTTTTGGCGGTCACTGTATATCGGGGTACTTTGATCTGATTATGATTAAGTAAATATTTACTTTGACCAATCGGTGTGTTGTTAGACCTCACCTAATGTACGATTAACTCACAACTTCGGCAAATAACAAAATACTTTCAGTTTTCATTATATCCAAAGCACAACAATTGTACAAGATAGAGAGATAGAGTAAGAGAATTATTGATCAGGAATTTAGCCAAATACAAACAAACGAAATGTTAGAATAATGAAAGAGTTCGGTAAAGTAGTTAGGTAAGTTGCTAGTAAAAGTCTCAGACAACATCTACAAGACGCCCTTTTGGCCGGGAGCAACACCCAACCGGGTAGCGAGCAGCAGCCGTTGGAGCTACCCTAGCTTGTGAAAGCCTGGCTTTTGATCATAAACGTATCGCACTTGTATGGTAGTTCCATAACTTGAACATATGTTTCCATGAAACTGTAAAGAACGCATTAAATGACTGTTAGCATCAAAAGAATTGTTATGAAAACTGAAATAGAAAGCGCCTCTTTTCGTATTGACAATCGTTTGTCAAACAGACATACGTTTATATCAAAACGAAAACTAATTGAAGCAAAAACGAGTACGATTTGTAAAGCAGGCCTCACAGGGGTGCACATTTTTGCAACAAAAGATGTCTGTATCCAAAAATGAAGCAACATTGAAAAAGAAGAAAATTTTGCAAACACGCATAGAATGAAATTAATAATATATCCGTTTCTCATTTATTAGAATGTAAGTAAAAATATCGCTAAAGACTAGGTAAGAAGAAACAGACTACCTTCTGATTTTCAGTTGCAATCCTGAACGCTATGCCTGGTAGATTGGTCTACGTATGCGGCAGCGAGATTTGTCTGATTTATTATACCTGGTTCGACACACACGTACATCCTGAAAAAGGAAACAATTTTTTCGAGAGTAAGTCAATGCAAAAAATTGACAAACTTTTTGCAACCAAGAACTGGTTATTAACCAAATTATTGCGCACGCCAAGTAGATGGTGTACTCAGAAATAACTCTGAAAATACCCTATTTCACGTTTATCAAAGATAGTCTCCTGTTTACTTGCAACAATCATTGAAGGCTCGCACGTGAGCTTAGTACCTTCCTTCCTTTACTGATCTTGATAGACGAAGATGCTCTAGGAAAACTGTGGGTAAGCTCTACATGGATTGATATTCTACAAGTTACATGGATTCTATTTTATTTCAGTCATTACATCAGAAAATGATAAAAGTCTTCTTGATAACTGTCGGAAAATGGATATTCACACGAAAAGAAGGGTTATGAGACATTTATTGGAATCCACTATTTCCACACAACAGCCAATACATAGACGATTTTAACACGATGTCAATTCCAGTGGTTAGCTCAAAGATCAAGACTCTCTATTTCTATATTATGTGGATAAAATACACAAAAAACCGAGTCATCTTTGAATGGCAGGAGTATGCTTTCCACCTATAATTCAACACTCCTGTCTCAAAAACTCTCAGTGTAAAGAATCAAAAAACCAAAAAAAGGTTAGTAGAGGAAATCAATGCGGATGTCGCAAAGACATTTTTACATTCACAATCACAAATTGAACAGACGCATACAATTGACGAAAGAACGCCTACAGTAACGTGTTGCTGAACTAGAAAAAGCAATGGTTCAAAGAACCTAATCACTTTCATTGGATACCTTCGCTTCTATTCTGAAAAGCCTCGTATAAGGTTCTAAAAATCTTTGAGTGAAGAAAATGCCTCCGACAGTTCCACAACCGGTTGATCGCATGATGGGGTCACATTCATCACCTTGACCTTGCTAGAGCTGAAAATAATGCAGATTCAAGAAATTGTATGTAAACCACTAATGTCTTATTCTCGATGTGAAAAAAAAACAATAACAATAGATGGAAGGAATGCCGCATGTGGGGTTCACTTTTAGTAAACAAACTAAAGGAAAACATAGGCAAGTAAGTTATAAAAAATGTAACTTACCCATTCTCTTAATATGGAACTATTTCCTCTCATCTTCACCGATGGCAAGAATACACGACCATGAACGATTCATTACAGCACTGAAATCAGTGAAGCTGCCATACATGCCAGATCGAACAATAGAAGTATCACCTTAGAAGAATTTTAGAAAGCTGGGCAAATCAAGATTCTTGTTTTCACTTGAAGCTACGTGGGTGAAGCTTCCCCTCCTCGCGTGCAGCTATCGCTTTCACCTCAGCTGTCTCCAAGCTGTAATCAAAGGTCGAATGGAAGAGAAAAGAAAACGGAAGGTATTCAAAAATTGCTAAGCACTTATGTGGAAATGTATAGAACCTGCCAATGAACAATTGTATCGAGTGTTTCATTGCATTTTACTTGTCTCATATTTCGTATTTTCGTTTTGATCATTGTATTTTTCATTTTTCATTTTACTTTTCTGCTATTTATCCTTTCAATATAATTGAGTTTTTCATTTATATTTTTTTTCATTTTTTTCCATTTTTTTTCATTTTTTTCTTTTTTTCTTTTTTTTCATTTTTTAAATTTTTCTTTTTTTCCTTTTTTTCATTTTTTCCATTTTTTCTTTTTTTCATTTTTTTCCTTTTTTTTCTTTTTTTCCATTTCTTTTTCATTTTTTCATTTCATTTTTTTAAATTTCTTATTTTATTCTTCATAATTTTCCTAATATTAACATTTTTTTCAGAGTTCCTTCAAACGCCTCTCTCAATGAAGTATTCGACAACTCCCCAGAAACCGAAATTTTGGGAAACTAGACGAGATTCATCATTTCGATGTTGTTATAAAACTCATCTATCTCTCAATAAAAAATTTATTGAATCGTAAATTTTGAAGAAAGCAGTATATTACCTACCTGTGATTATCTACAGAATTCAGTGCAGTTTTCTCAGCAAGAATTTCTCAGCTCACATGCATGATAACGTAGAACAGTCCCCGTTTAGCACACCGGTGCCCAGAAAAGGAGATTCAACGTCCTCCAAGGCGACGGTTTGAGAATGAAACAATACCAGCTTCTTCCTATAAGTTTTAGCTTCGATTTGCTTCTATTCAGACTGGTTCCTTGTACTCACCGGGAAGAGATGCAAGCTCAGATACTGAAGATGATGAAGAAGATGACCAGCTGCTACTGAAGGAGACGGATCCGCGTTTGCTAGACGCTTATTTCCTTGTTCAAGGGAAAAAGCTTCTTGAGCTGCTTCAAATCAACATGTGTGGCTCCGATACCAACGCAAAAAGAATGCGCTTGATTAGAAAAGCTTCCTGTCCCATCATAATTTACATGAAAGACGGTCCCAAGCCCGAAAGGAAGAGATGGGAAGGGCAGGATAAGTTGAGCGCTCGCAAGAACGACAAGCAGTTCGTTGGAAACATCTTGACATGTACTGCTGCGGTTACCACGGGCGTAAGGATGAATGTAAGAGCCATTCCATACGGGGGGACGGTCAGGAGGTACGATCGGCGCGAATTTTTCGCGACGCGACGCCGCAGCGCAATTCAACTAATGCAACGGCGGCAGCCCTGGCGCAGTATTACCTATGGCATCGAGTCATGTATTCATCCTCACCCCCCCCCCCCCCCTTCTGTTTTTGCCGGCGGAATTTGCAACAGCGGGGAGTTTTGTGAGTCCCAAGATTTGAACGCGGCGTGCGCGGCAAAGCGGTGGTCACGCGCGGCGTACCTCCTGACGTGCAGCCATTCCATACGTACTCTGGCAAAAAAAATTTTTGCAGAAGCTGATACAATGGGCGGGAGAGTTTGGGTTAGCTATTCCTTCCCAGTCAACGTTCAATCGGATTTTCGACGAAATGCGGCCATCAATAAACACCGTATATCAAAGACATCAAGATAATATATTGCAGCGCATAAGAGCCGCATACGAGGTGAAGAATAGTGATGCATAGATATAGTAGACGTCATCCGTCTAGTCACCTCGGTGCCGTGTGTGCTATTGCACACAATTTTGAAATCCCGGATGAGGTGCGGGGTTCGCGCCGTGCCGTACTTGCACCAAGTACGCGTACGGCTAAAATTCGACGCCAAATTTTGCCGGTTTTTCTTATTCCGGTGCTTTTTTTTGTTTTTGGCTCCGCGCACGTCTGGTTTTTGATGATTTGTTATCTTTATACCGTGCGTTGCCGTTTTAGATCGCAAATTTCAAAATTTTTCACTTCTGATTCCAGGTGAGAGCGGCAAATGGGCAATCCTGCAGGATTTCAAGGTAAGTGTGCTTCCTTCAATATTGTCGGATGTAGAAAGAGTAGAGTGTCTCTTGGGAAGTACGAGTTTTTGTTTAAAGCAATCCCACTATAGACTTAGAAGAAGCTTTCCAAGAGGAACTCGGTACAAGACGATTTCAGTGAGGAGGAAGTTGAAACTCGTATTGTCTACGAGATACTCTATTCTTTCTACATACGACTATACCGAAAAACACACTTCACAATCCTGTAAGATTGCCCACGCGCCTTCCTTGCCTGGAAGCAGAAGTGATAAATCTCAGGATATCCTATCTAAAACGGCAATGCACGAGTATAAAGGTAGCAAATCTTTGAGAACGAGACCATGCGTGCAGAAAAGTGCTTAAAACGAAAAAAAAAAACATCAAAATAAGAAAATCGGACAGTTTGGCGTCGAATTTCAGCCGTATGCGCACTTGGTGCAAGTACGGCATGGCGCGAACCTCGCACCTCATCCGGGATTTCAAAATTGTGTGCAATAGCACACACGACACCGAGGTGACTAGACGGATGACGTCTACTATATTTACCTGATTTGAAAATGTTATTTCAGCGCGAAGGGGAACCCACACCGTGGTATATTGCGGTGGACGGAGCATATGACTCCAGGGGATTTAGTGCAGAGTTCTGCAAAGTTTTAGCGGTAGACATGAAGACGAAACTCTGCATCCACACTGAAGTAGTGGAGCGCCGTCAAACAGGTTATGACCGGACTGACTGAGAAAAATAGCTTTCTCGGATTTCTTATAGGTGGGAAGAGCGGACTGATGGAAAAATTGGGGTTTCACAATATGTTGCGATGGTTCCGGTCTCAACGTATTCCCATACGTTCAGTGTCAACTGACCGCAACCTTATGTATCAGAAGGAGATTGGAGAGTACAATTCGGAATTTGGGGAGAACGTAAGGTGGTACCTAGACCCCTGGCATCTGGCTAGGCGACTCGAGAAGCAACTCAGGGCGGTATGAACTGAACTCCTAGTCATCCAATCTCTAGATAACTTAGACGAGATGTAGGCATCCATGCGGAGTCAATGCGAAAGCATACGCGATTGGGCGGATGATCTGAAGACCCATCTATACACTGCCATAAAAGAAGGAGCAGAAGCTGGAAGTGGCGACCGCATAAAGCATGTTTTCAATAGCTGCTTGAAGCATGTTGCCGATGTTCATGAGTGGACGGAGGTAAACTAATTGTAGAGTTTACATAAACTTAGGAAGTATAACGTACAGGATAGCCAAACGGGGCCAGTAACAAAGTGCTTGCATAAGCCAATAGCTCCGAATGAAGAGAGAGGGAAACGAACACTCGCTACTGGAACTGCCGCTCACGAAAAGTTGAAAGAGATAGTGCTCCAATCGACATTTCAAAACGATATCGTGATTGCGAGCCCCTATGGCGGCACAAGCCAGTGCGAGACCAAGAACGCCGTCGACAGACTCTACTGTCCAAAGGAGCTTTTCTTGTAAGTTTTGCCATATGAGTTCTTAGAAATTGCCAACGAACTACACTAAGGATTTTTTAGACCACGAACGACTTACCCTCTCTATGTAAAGATGGCTACTTTACATTTGAATGCACTCCGAGAGGCTGAGTTGAACGGGGAAAGGGTAGTGGAATCCAGGATACGAATCAAGCGGAAGTTCAAAGAGAGAACAAGTGAACTAAAGAAAAAGACGCCCATACAACACCTATGGAGGAAAGAAATACACCAGTCATACGTTTCCACGAAACGTTCGCGACAAACATCATACGGCGAGATGATGGACACGACGTAATAACTCCAGTTTCCTCCGTTACCAAATACACAGACTGAACCGATTGCCGCCTGTTCTGACATTCAATCTGTGCGGCGCGCGCGCTCCTCGTGTACAGTCTTTAGTCAATCGGGATAAGCCGAAAGATTCCAAATGGAGCAGCGCATGCGCGACGCCAACGGCTCAGCGAGATAGATTAGAATCAAGAGACGCAGACTGCAGAGCGGCGCGAATCGTGCGAAGCGGACTCCCGTCAGTCCAATTTCCGCCTAAACTGAGTTGAAAATTATTATAGCGCTTTATAATGCGCGCGGGGCCGAACGTAAAATGCGCACGCCACTGCGCGAATGCGCGCGCGCACGGTACCGACAGCGCTCCGAAAGCTACCAAAGAACAAGTCCTCCATGCAGCTTCCTTTTCTTTCTCGTCGTGCTGTGCGCATTCTCAGATTCCAAATTTAGCGCATCGAAAATTTGAATTTGAATTCATAAAGTTCAAACTCAGCACCGATTCGGGACGCTATCGAAGGATAACCTATGTAGAAACAGAGAGCCTTTTACGTTCCTGCGACTAATCAATTATCAAGAACTGATAAGCCAAATCCACAAAAAGGAGCAACCTAATCAGAGCGTAGTACCTTAGCGGGTATCCATCGCACTCGTAGCTTGTGAGAATTGCATGTGCGCGGGCAGGACGGTGAGAACATAGTTGGCTTTTAGCGTACGCTAGGGATTCATGGCGCGCGGGCCGCACGGTACGCGATCCCATTCCTGGACCGGTGCGCGCGCGCCGCACGCACCGAATGTTAAAGTAATACCCTACGCAATGATTGACTATGACTCCCAAAAAAGCGCCTCTGGTAACGGAGCGAGAGAGTCTGTTCTTTCTAACTTCGTCATTCACAAAAAAATTTTTTTCAGGTGAGCTTCTACCGGTGCTATGTCTACGAGCGAGGTATATGTTGTATTGGAAGCAACAATGTTTTTTTTTCAGTGAGATCAACTTATCTGTAAATGTGTTCAAAGAACAAAATGACAGTAAAAAATTTAAAAAAACTGAATACGAAAAATTATACAGTTGGAAAAAACCCACCTCATATTAGTGTCAAGCCATCAACACGTATTCGCAAATTTCGAAACAAGCCGTACCGCATGATCGGTGCGCAAAAAAAGCTGAATTTTTTTTTTAAATTTTAGCAATGATACACAAATGCATAATATAAGGATAAAGCTTTACTGACCATAACCTCTATCGTCGACGGCATCAGAATCTGTCCCATTTTCGAATTGATCAGCATGACAGGTCCGATTAGCCCGAACAGCCACGTGCAAAGCAGTGTTGCCAACCGCTGCTCTACACGGGCATAGCAACGTGCACCTAATGTTTCAATTCTGACACACTAGCCAAAAAAAGTAAAACATCTCCACTTCCTAACGAATTCCGCACAAGAGATGTGCGATTTTCCCATCGCTGTTGCTATCGCAAAGATTACGAAATTAACCAGGGTAGCATCGAAAGGCGTACCTTCATCTATGCGATGGTTGACGACACTAGCAGAAACATGAACAACGATAGTTGCTGCAAGAGCAAAATCGTTTCGTTGAAAAAGAGCGACAGAAAGAGGGGACCATCCATCGACATCAGAATTGATGAGATCGGCTCCACTGACAATGAGAGTATTTGCCAGAATAAGATTCCTGCTTGAAATACGAGAAGTAAGGCTGTTCTAAAAACAAATTTCAAAGAATTAAAAGAGAAAAATTCGCAAAACTCACTGAAGTGAAGTAAATTCTATCGCGACTTTTCATGGACGACTTGCTCCCGCAGATGCTGGAAATTTGCATGCTCGAATACTCTCTGGAGATAAAGAGTGGTAGCTGTTCGTTCAAAAAAATTCTACCAAAAGGGAAAACAACCTGCCTTTTTCGATCATTCGCACGACAATGAACTTGCCCGCTTCATGTACTGCGTTGCAACTAGCGTTTTTGGACAGTAGCTGGTTAGCCGTATTTATATGACCAGATGAGAGCGTAAGTTTCAGAGGTGAAAAACCGCTTTGATCGTGAGCGTTTACCAAGAGGGAAACCTAGAATAACAATATAATTGTTGTAAAAATGAGGCAAACGTAAGCTTTTCGAGAGAAAACAAAAGAGCGGATGCATACCTTTGAATCGTTCTCGATAAAATATATGAGAAAGAGATACTCACGGTTGAGTTGGACGACTGAGTGTAGCATATAATGTGAGTTCCTAGGTTATCTTTATGTTAAAACCGCACAAACACTTTCAGCTGTAAGAGGCCTACCTTTTGAAAAGTTGGTAGCATGAAGGTGCGGAGAGATGAGCAAACTGCTGCGGAATGAACTCAATCCAATAAGCGGCAATGATAGCTCCACAATAATCACGTAGATCGCCTAGATAGGTGTCAGCAAATTTATATCGTGAGATACACCTACAAGTATCTATACGTGCTTTGCGACCTGTGCAAGAATATACTACTGCAAGGATATACCACTTCAAAAGCTCAACCTAGGTAATTCGTTGTAGATTATAAACGAATTACTTAGATTGAGCTTTTAAAGTAGTATCGAAACGCAATGTCGTACACCTCTCTTAATAGTTCCTGAGATACGTTCGATCGAGAGAGCTCATCCGCGTAAATCCATCAATAGACCAGCTCGAATGCTTCATAGTTAGCATCTTCAAAAAGCAAGAGATGTCACACGATGTTTGCATAGTACATCCCAATTTCAGCACAAAGTAACAACAAAGCAAGGGATTATACAAATACGACACGGACTACCGGAAAAGTTCAAAATTATTTCTGAGATGCCATACACTTTGAAACATCAGATGATCACAAGCCTCGCACTAACCTTATAACCTAAAACTCTTGTAGAACATGGACAACGAGCCTTTGAGATGATATAAATGTAGTAGTAGAACGACATCTTCAAAGAATATGCAATCATTTTGACAAGAAGGCTGCATTTCGCAAGAGGGAATGGCAAATATCTGCTTACGTCCTTCCAAGTGACGCCATTCTGCGCGCGAGTGGCGGGGAGTACTCGTCCGCCTTAGCTAGGCGGGGTATCCAAAAACCGGGGTTTTTGCGATTTTCACACACTTTTCGACACGGATACGGTTAAACTGGATCAAGAACATTCCTAAACCGCAAGAATCCCGATACCCATATTCTGCTGACACACTGCCTTTAAAGGCAGCGTCCAGGCAAATCTGGACCTATGGGGCTTTTACGTGGAAAGTACTTTTGGGGCCCTAATTGAGGCACTGCCCAAGCGACAGCTCAGAAAGTGCTGTAATGGCTGAGATATTCCCCTCGAAACTGGCCCCCGCGAACGTAATCGCATGGATTCATGGCAGTTTCGCGCCAGGATCCACGCTTTGCGCCATGAATCCATGCGAAACACGGTCGCGGGGTCCAGTTTCGAGGAAAATATCTCAGCCATTACAGCACTGAGCTGCCGCTTGGGCAGTTCCTTAGTTAGGGCCCCAAAAGTACTTTCCACGTAAAAGCCCCATAGGTCCAGATCTGCCTGGACGGTGCCTTTAAAGACAGGCAAACCTCTCCCAATTCCCCCCCCCCCCCCACCCCACTCCCTTACTCCTATCCAGGATGTAGGTTTCAGAAAAGAGGCACCTACCTTGATCCGGTCCTCCAATATTTTTCTATATAAAGATAATGGACCTGACCCGCGGAAGTGTTATCAAGCCACGCCCGAACCCATCAAGTTCCGCCCACCAATTTGAAAGCCGTCTGGGTCTTTGGATGGGCTCCCAGATGTCGGTTCTTTTGAAAAATTTGCACATTTTCTTCATTACTGTAATCAGGGCCACAGGAAGGGCCCGGAAGAACATATGGCTTTTGAGTAATTTTTCAGTGAAGGAGGAACGCAAAGAAATGAGATAGCAAACGTGAGAAAATAATTTTTTTGATGGTAGAATTTTGAAGCGACTGAGCATAATCTATTAGGGTGTCTCATAGTTTTTCACCGTTTTCAATACAACTGGCGTATTTTTGCATCTTCCCTTCATCTGATGTGACCTGATAATTATTCGACAGGGCCAAACAAGCTCTACAAGATGGCTATCAAAAGTCTGCCCAACTCGTATTCCACGTGAAGTTTTGGGCTGAAATCTGATAGTAGTCGAAAACGAACTTTTCTGCTAAAAATCGTATCTCCGCCCCAAATTATCTAAAAAATTCTCCATCTATTTTAGCATAAGTTTGATAGCGTATTCAATTGTACACTTTGCGAATTTTTTCCATGAATAAAGAAAAGAAAAATAAATAAATAATAGTAAAGAAAAAATGAGTGAAGTAAAATGACGGTGTCCCAAAAATTGTGAGAAATGTCTGCTCTTCGCTCATTTTTAGATGTCATACGGTAGGGCTAGCTTCAACCTAGATTCACAGTATAGAGCAAATCTAAGATTTTTCTTGATTACTGCAGAGTTACGTAGGAACTTCCAATTTATGTCGTCACCGTGAAAAAAGTTGCGTTTTGAATGATTTCAAAATAAAAAATGGAAGCTGGGTTCAATGCTCAACTTTATACAAAATTCTGAAGCTTTTCGATAAACGCACTTTTTGGAAACATGGAGAAGACGACTGCTAATGCTCACCTGGTATAATTTTTTGACAAAGCATTATGATACGATGCAAACTTCGATTAGAATCAGCAAATCTAATTAATTTAGTGTAAAATTTTTTTGGATCGTTTTGTTTCCTTTCTATAAGGCAAAATGTGGCCCTTCATCGCTTGAAACCTTCAAATTTTGAAGAAGGTTCTCACCGTAATGTTACAGTAATAAAGAACGATCGGTGACTTTCTTCATGCCGTAAATCTAAGCCAGCTTACAATGGTACTTGAAGCTTCTTGTAAGACTTCGTAAAAAGAAAGTCATTACCAATCAAACGTTCCTCACATTTCTTCGGGACACCCTGTATTATAACAGCGATGGTGATATCACCAAACCTACCCAATTTGTTCAGTTCATCCGTTTACTGTGCTTTAAAAAAGAAACCGTGTACTACCGAGTTATAGGAAGAGTGGGAGTGAGTGAAGTGTGATGAAACTAAGTATGACGTATACCTCATGTGAAAATTAACAATGTCAACGTAAAAACTCCAAAAAATTACGCGAAACGTCTTTCCTCTTGCTAACTGCGAGCTCAAAAGACCCAAATTCAATAGGTCTACTTTTGCGCAACAGTGCAAAACATGAATACTGAATTGCCAGCTTAGAAGAAGCCCCAAGAACTAATCCGACAAACTCCCTGCTTGGCTATCGTCAGATAAGAAGAAATGAAGCCTTTTTTTATAATACGGAATTTCCAACATTGCAAAAAATGAATTTTTATCTGCAGACTTATACAGGGTGTCCCAAAAAAATGTATCGAACTAATCTTTAATAACTTCCCTATATGGAGAGCTTTCGCGGATTTTTAGGTGTTATACGGTAGAGCTGGGTTCAGCTTAGATTTTCGGTATAAAGCGAATCACCGATTTTTTTGGTTACTGTAGCATTACGGTAGGAATTTTCGACTAATTTTTAGCTTCTGTCAGGCAAGAACTGCTTTAATTCCAAAATAAGAAGGACGAGATTTTCGGGGATGCTAAACCTAATTACAAAGTTTTCCGCTACCGTATTCCCCATCTTTCTACTGTAGACGTATTGTAACGCTAAATTTTTGGCTTTTTTCCAAAATTTATTGAATCAACGTTGCAGTTACAAACACTTCGTCAAAAGCCAAAAATATAGCGTTACACTGCGCATACCGTAATAGGATAAAAAGCACGGTAGCGGAAAACTTTGTAATTAGGTTCAGCATCCCGAAAACCTCTGTGTTTAACGTTCTTCTTTTTTCTGGAATTTTTTAGAAGCAGCTCTCGCCTGTCAGAAGCTTAAAATTGGTGGACCTACCGTAATCCTATAGTAACCAAGAGAAACCGGTGATTCGCCCTATACTGTTAATCTAAGTTGAACCAAGCTCTACCGTACGGCACTCAAAGATCCGCGAAAGCTTTCCATATAGAGAAGTTATTAAACGTCAAACGTTCGATACATTATTTTGGGACACCCTGTATAATTTGAAAACTCAAAAACATACATCAAAAGCAGAACTTCTTGGTCAAATGCTTGCTATTAGGAATAAAAATATTCACGCAGTTTCCAGCACTAATAGTGCCTCGAAACATTCCTATTATGCTTTTCAAGAGGTGTTTCACCTTGACGGCTTATTCAATGAATGTTTGATAACTTTTTGACTTCTGACACTATAGCTTTGGCTTACGGAATTTCCAAAAAATCACGCCGTCAAGAAATCAAAAGTCAACTTTCCTTGTAGCAGAGTACGGACAACGAAAAAAATCCTCGCCTATTTTTAGTTTACAACGACAAAGCTAGTCTGCCCACAATTTGTTTGAAAAAAAAAATGCACCAATGAACATATTTTAGTTCAAGGAAGATTACGAGCGAAGCTTTGAAGTTGAGGCTCTTGAAAAATAAACATTTGTTGCAACATTGTCTTTCCTAACCGTACCCAGATTTCTATTGCAAAAATTTTTTTAGCTTATCAACGTCTTTACAGATGCTAAAACACATTAAAATATATCAAGCGAAAACTGTGAAGACTTGTACAATTTGAATGTCCACAGAATCCGAGGTGTTTCATAGGATGCATGCTCAAGTAGTCAAGCTATCCAGTCACTCAATTCCTTTGAAAATCTTGAAGCGTGCAAGCTTATTTGCTGATCTTTTCTGCTAATCTTTTGATGGAAAACAATGAGCTATCATTTGCAGCTACGGAGCAGCATATAAGTGTGTTTAGCGAAAAGAAGCGTTTGAATGAGTTGTGTTAACAGGGCCCACTTAAAAACCAGGTTCAACTCCGTAGTCAAATTAAGTCAGCTCACCTCTTACCTGCTATGAAGCGTTATGCCAGACAATTCACTAAACAGCCGTCCTCCAAGAACCTCAACGATCTTACCTATAGACACGCTTGGAATGTAACCGGATATATGTCCGTCCCTTTGCCATGGAATTAGTGACGGACATATATCACCTCCTACTAATATAGCGTAGACTTCTCAAAAACTAGAATAGTCTAAGCATTTGTGATTGTCTCAAGGGCATACGAAGCTGGTTCCGCTGACTTCAGCTTTATAGACAACGAACTGACATGCCGAGCCCCTCCGGACGTAATATCATAAATCTCACCATTCTGTATTACGTTGTTACACATTCCTCCATTCCTACCTCACTTCTTATTTAATTCCCTGCTCCCCATTATGCTTTCGTGATCAGTGTCGCCTTCATAGAAGGTTGTTCCTTTGACGAAAGGTGCTCTTAGCTTTTTAGCACAATGTCCGAAAACATTAACTGAAATAAATAAATAGGTTAATTTTGGAGTGTCACCTATTGTAATCAGCATGTCTCTTGTCTCCTCAGCTCTTCCTCCCCCCCCCCCCCCCCGCCCCGCCCTCTCCCGCTCTAGTAACTCCCAACGCTCCAGCTCAGAGTTTGCAAAAGTCGATAAAATCGGTAAAGACAATCAAAAGCTTTCAAAATTTGTGTTTTTGCAAACAAAGTGTCTGCTCAAGCCAATAGAACTTCGAAAAGTTGTGAAATCAAATCAACCAGAGTTTTTTGGTAATTTTTAATGAAAGGACCGCATTGAGACTCAAGGATGGTAACGATAAATAGTACCTTAGCGTAAATTCATTTATCTTTTGACACTTCTCGTATCAACATCATCTTACATCTGTATCTGAACAGGGTTCTGTGGAAAGCTAGCCGGCACAGTATGACTCGAAAAATTTTTTTTACTAAACCAAGGTTAAAGCAGGGCTTTCTCGCCTCAAACTTTACAGCCATCACATAATACACTTCTACATTTCATGTCGTAAAAACTCGTGCCATATGTT